GGAAGTTCTACATTTTTGCGTTCATCATTAACCTCTCTCCTATGTTTAGCTTCTAGCATTTTTTCTTGAATAATTTTTTTAATACTTTCTTTAATACCTTGAGTTTCCTGACGTAGATTTGTATCCTCTTTAGATTTTCCCTTAATATTTTCTTCAAATTTTGTTTTTTTATTGGATTTCACATCACTGATATCTGAAACATCATTGAAATCTTCCTGAAAATCAATAACTTTTTCGTTATTATCTTTCGAATCCGACGATAATTTATTTGCACTTTCAGTTTCCCATGTAGTGGTATTTTCTGTAGATATCATGTTATCATCTATTAAATCAAGTATTTCTACTTCTTTTTTTATTGTGTCATTTTCTTTTTTAGTCTCTTCAAATTCGACATCCGAAAAATTTTGTTCAACAGTTCTTTTTGTTTCCTCAAGTTCTTTTAATGAGTCTACAACTTTATTAACTATTTCTTCTTTGAAAGATACATTTAGTTTTATATCTTTTATATCATCTACTTGGTCTATAAAATATCTTACAGAAGTTTGTAAACTTGTTTTATTAGTATCATACTTAATATTCGATTTTCTTTTCATAATAAATATGCTAGGTTTTGTTTTAATTCTAATAGATAGAAACATATTATAATTTAATGCTACATGCGAAAATCCATCAATTGAATCAATAATATCATGAGTTTTAAGATAAGCTTTTATATTCGGTGAAAATTTGCTTCTTCCTTCTATCAAGAGATGAGTAAATTGTAGCATTTCAGGATCATCAATAGTAAGGTTTTCTTGTTTTGAATAACTGTAACATAATAAATAATCTTATTATCAAAAGTTATTATCATAATGGAGATATTAGTACAAGAGTTAAGCAAAGTAACTTACATCCAAGAAGCATTTGTCTGTGTAAATCTTGATACTCCGGTTTGTGCAGTTAATACATCAATATGCACATGTACTGGCTTGATAGAGCCTCTCTCAAGTCTGTGTAATCTAGCAATTGCTAAACCTCCAGGGTAATTAAAACTGGCCACACACAGTAGAAACATGGAAAATATAGCATTTAATGCAAGATGAGTCAAAACTGCTATCGCAAGAAAACTATTCCACGTCGTTTTTGCTCTGTTTTCCCATCTAATTTTCAAACAATAAAAAACAATTTTTTAATTATTACATATATAGCTACAAAGATTTATAATCTAAAACTTAATTCTTCATCAATGGCGATTTGATGTCTATAACTATTAATTCTAAACTATTTTGTTGACAAAAAATAAATATGCATTTATTTAAAAATATATTTATTTAAAATCATATATAATTATTAAAAGAAAGATGATATCAGCATTTATCTCTTATATTTTTACTAAGAGCAAAAAATGTCTGTATAAAAATATGTATATAATAATCGTAATTTTGTAATCCTTATAATTAAAATATATTTGAAAAAATAATGTTGGTAAATTAAAATAAAATTACTGAGGGAAAATGAATTAAATCATAATTTAAATAACATACATATACTTACATTCTATGGCAAGCAGCAGCTGCGGCAACATTCAACAATGGAAATACATATATTATAAATCTCAATTCCTTATGTGGTAAAAACGAAAATAATAGAACGAATAAGATAGCTGGAACTGCAAGCACGCGAACTCTAGTATCCCAAAACATCCCAAAAGGAATTAGAACATATGAAAATGCTAGACCTCTTGGCAGTGCTGAATAGAAGTACCATAAAAATGGTAATGTCTATTTATGCGTTAAGTTCATTTACGTACTGATATACATATTACAAAATTACAAACATATTTAAAAATCTCTAGCAAACGAAATATCTCAACAATCAAAAGTGTCTTTTTCAGAATTTATGAGATATCGCATACTATAACGTGAGATTTGAAGCCTAGCTTAGGAATCGATCATATTTTGTAACGTGATAGATCAATTTTTTCTGACATTATACAATCTAAAATTATTCTGCAAGATATTGGAAATCCTTAACAAAAAATCTTATTATTACATCTGCAAAGGATACACCCCATTCACTGCTTTTGTTAAGAATAGTATTGAAATAAAACACTTCGCCTTCCGGCCACACTAAGCGTCTCCAGAATATTGAATCTGTAGCAATAGTAAGTGCTAAGAACAATACACCAGCTGGAACCGCAATTTTAAGTAGTCTAAAAATTATTATAAAACATTATTGTGTAATAAGCAAAGTAATTTGGAAAGAACATTATAAAGATTAGATATTTTTTTAATGGTGTGAAATTGAATCGGGCTTGTGGCTCAATGAAATCCGAGGAATTTTCATGGTAATATATTTAATACATATAATGATTAGAGATTTTACTTGAAAGCTTACAAATTTGTGCAGTTTTGCAGAAGACCCCATGATGATTTTAATTTCTGTTTGTAATCTTACAGCCATATTAGGAATCAATGGTCCATGACATAATATGTAAATACCTTTGTACAGAAAGTGTCTGGCTCGCTATATTGTGTAAGAGGAACAATCCCAAAAGTATGGCAAGTTCTGTTCTGAATATTATTATCGCTGCAGCCGATGACCAGATAAACAACACGTGACTTTTCCTCAACCATCCAAATAAGGCCAGTAGTACTACAATATCATATCCATTAATTAAAAAAAAAATATATATATATATATGAAATTGCATAACAATCATTTGCTACAACATATTTTGAAATACAATATATAATTTTGGTGTAATAATTAATTATATAAGAATATAATATATTCTTTAAAAATACACTCTTTTTTCCTTTTTTATGTTTCCATTCTTATTCCATTCTTATTCCTAACTCCAAAATGACAATTTTTTAGTTGTAGCAAATGGGCAAATCGAGTTAAATGAACATTTTAATACGATAAAAGAAATGTAAAAAATTAGCAAAAATGTATATATACACATAGAAAGTTTTATTTTATTACCTAAAGGCATAGCCATTATGTTTGGCAGTGGACGACTAAGATAGTATATAAAATGATATTGTGTCACAGTTATAGCCACAAACCACTTTGTAAACTGTATCCCAAAGATTTTTTGTAAAGCTTGTCTATACAACTTGAGCGTAAATATTACCAATAGTCCCAATGTTGCCCTTACTTAAAAAAAAACATAATATTAAACCTTTTATTCTACAAAAATATATAGGATTATTATATAAAAAAAATTACTGAACTTACCCACATATTGAGCAAAAAATTTATTGAGCTTTAAGTAATTAATACATGCCACCAATGGTGAAGCAAAACCAGATACAATAATAGGTCCTAAAAAAGAACGTGGCACAACTCCAGGAAATTCATGATGATCATACTGGAAAACAATAACAAAAATAACATTAATGAAAAATTACTATTTCTTAGATAATAAAAAAATTGACTTTAGACTATATATAAATTAATATATTTTTATGGACACAACATATTTGTAGATTATTTGTTTAAATAAAAGTGTCATAATTTTAGTAAGGTGAGAGGATGAAATTTATATTACATTACAGTTACAGTGTTCAAAAACTCATGACATAATTTTAATGAAAACACAATTAAAAGTAACATAAAAAGAATAAAGTAGAAATTCTATATGTTCACTTATTCTAATTAAAACATTGTTTCAACTTAAACTGTTCAAATTACTCTACTAAAAAATTGTTAATTTTGAGAATCACTTTTCTATCAAAAAGCAGTAATATATTTACCAGAAGTGTCAATATAGAAAAGATAACACTTGAATAAAGAATGAAAAAATACGAAATCGCCCGCTAATGCATTAAATGGATTCGGAGCGGCATCAGCTGATCGCGAGTTTATAAATACGTGTATCTGGTTACTAAATATAATACGGCACTTTTTGTGCGCTGGCTGCCTAATCACAATCAGTTGGCCAGGGTGGATCAATGATCGTCGAGTAACACCAATCCGTTTAATGTTTTAGTCATTACCTCCGTTAAATTGAAGCCGTGATAGAGAACATCGTGCATCGCCTGCAGATTGAAACTTTCCTCGACTTTTGTAAATGGACAGTATAATAGGTGAATCACCGACACCAAGATAATTAGCTGATCCATGATTAATCGTACTTGTGCTTTTCATGCAAAGTATACGTTGCCACCGTTTGACCTCTTGGATTCTGTCATGATATAAATTCGACGTATCGACACAAAGAGCACTTTTTTCTTTCGTTTTGCCCAAAGCACCGCGTGTCACCGTGACGTTATTACACGGCAAGTACCACGTATACTGTTACAAAACGAAGCAATGTACAAAACTTGGCGCATGCGTCTTCTTTAGTTCTCACTCCACAAATTGATTTCTTGGTCCGATATGCATATTCTACCTGTTTTTCTTTATTTCAAGATTTTTTAAGTAAATGTCTTAACCTTTAGATAGATGCACTGACAAAATTATACAATGATTGAAGGCTTTGGAACTTTCCTTCTTCAAGGAGGCTAAATACTGGATCGTACATACAATATCTGGTCTTTCACTCGTGATATTGTAATTTCTTTTAAACAGATTGGAGGTTCCAAGAAATTTATTCGGGAGATTAAAAAGATGAAGAAAAAGTAATTCTGACTTTATACGCTTACTTGAAAGTTAAGATGCTAATATTACGGCTTTGAGATTAGTTTACGATATCTTAAGCATGATATACGTCATGATCTTAAGTACTGTACTTAAGACGATTTTAAATGTAAAAACTGACTGAATACTTAATCGGAATTTGGTCGAAGTCATTCCAGAAAAATTTATCTTTGTGCTCATTTATGTCTAGCCGAAAAATATTTCTACCTGGGGACATTTTTTTTGATGATTGACCGGGATTAATCGGCTTGACTCTCGCGCGAAAAACGAGGATTTTGTTGCGCAAGCTCACCGATAAAGAGGTGAATGATCGTCATCTGGTGACGAGAACTGAGAAGCAGCATTCATGTCTCATTTTCAGTAGATTTTCAGCAGCACAAGCAGTCTAGTCTCTAGTGCAATTCGGAATTTACGATAAACTGACGATAACATCGTGTGCATCGAGAATAAGGTAGTGCTAGGTTTTAGAAAACTTCTCTAACCTTTTACTAAACCTGGCAAAGCTGAACTATTTCGGCGTTATTTACAATTCCATTTGGTCTGTCAACTGATCAATTGCTCTCCTGCGATCTTTCGTAGATAGGTTACCGGCAAAAAATCAATCGATTACACTCTTCACGTTCTCGAACATATTCGTCCCATTTTCTATTTATCATTTTTTATTTCAAGAATTTTCTGTCAAACGAATCGTTACAAAAAAACACTTGTAATATATATTATACATATATGATGTATTATATTATACATATATTGATGTATGTATGTACATAAAATATATTCATGTATAGATGTAAATTAGTGTGTATATTAATTTAAGATGAAATTAAGAGAATAAAACATAGGGTCTGTATGATTCGGCATGCAAAGCAATTGCCTATATGAATTTTTTTTAATTTTAAGTTGAATATTTAAATAGTTTTTAATATAAAAAATTGTTATCTTTCTACAATTCTTTCTTAGATCTGTACTTGTAAATTTTACTTTTATCTATTTTTATTTACTAATTGTTTTCATATAAATATTTTCTCTATTTCGAGACTTGAATATTTAAATATTGTTTATTATGAAAATATGTATCTTATTTTTGTATTTATATAAATTATTTTTTACAATTTTTTCGTGGAGCTATACTCGTTAAAACATTGTTTGTGTGTGATATGAGAAATGCTATACTAGAACTGCTAAAATACACTGCTTTTGTTTACTAAAAGTTTAATATAAATACAAATATACATATCAAAAATGAATCAAAAACAACTTTAATATTTTCTGCGATTAAAAACAAATATTCTCTTATTTTATTTTTGAATATATATTTTTTACATACCTAGTAACCAACACTCTCAAAGGAATTATATGTATCATATCAAAAATAAAGCTTCACTCTCATTTCCTTCATAAATTCATAAAACTTGTTCGAAATAAAAAACATTTGTCTTATTATATAAGATATCAATTTCGGTATCGAAGTTAATATGATGAAAATAGAAAAATGTATTATATAATATAATAATAAGAAATAATAGATAAGTTAGTGAGATATTGACGTAATACCACTGTTTGCAGCATCGTATTTTCGTTCGTCTTCGCTGTTCCATCTTGTTTATGTTCAAAACATTTGATTTTTAAATATCCTAAAATTTAAATTGCAAAATGTCCATCAACACATACAACAAAGTCACGCACTGTATTTTCGATATGGACGGTTTGTTGCTCAGTAAGTATTGAGATATGTTTCTAACTATACAATTCATAATTAGTCTTTATCATGTTTTGTTTTTTAGATACAGAGCATCTGTATAGCAAGGCTTTCAACCACATCACTAATCGTTATGGCAAAGAATTCACATGGGAGCATAAGGCGCAAACGATGGGTTTCAAGACCAAGGATGTTGCTGGATACGTGGTTGAGACGTTAGAATTACCGTTAACAACGGAAGAATTCAAGAAAGAAATTGTTGGACTCTATCAAGAGTTGTTTCCGCATACCAATCCCATGCCTGGTAATACTCTATATCAAGATACATATATTGATATTGGACTATTCATTAGTTAATTCTGATTGAATTACTAAACAACAATCTGTGTAACAGGCGCCGTTAGATTATTGAAGCACCTGAAAGAGAATAATGTTCCAATTGCGTTAGCCACGAGCTCGGATCAAGAAAACTATGAATTGAAAACTAGTCGCTGGCAGGACCTCTTTGAACTCTTTCATCATAAGGTACTCGGCGGCTCGGATCCCGAGGTGGCGCACGGAAAACCGGAGCCTGACATATTTCTCATAGCTGCCAAGCGTTTCCCTGACAATCCAGATCCTTCGAAGGTAACGTGACAATCTAGATTCGTCAAAGAGACGATCATTTAATTGTCAAACATAGCATGTGAGATATTTTTTATTAGGTTTCAAACTACTATATTTAAAGACCAAAAGTGACTGAAATCTAAAAACTGAGTATCTTACAGTGTCGAAGATTACAAATTTCTTTTTAGTGTCTAGTTTTCGAAGATGCACCGAATGGTGTGAAAGCGGCACTTAACGCCGGAATGCAGGTCGTTATGGTGCCAGATCCGATGCTGCCCAAACGTTATACAACTGAAGCGACCCTAGTCTTAGACAGTCTTGAGAAATTTCAACCGGAAAAGTTTGGACTACCTCCATACGAGATGTAATACATCTTTCTTTGAATTTATCGTATGTGTTACGGACTCGTGCTAATGAGCCGTATATGCACGGAATTACCTCATAAATAATTTAATTTATACGATTTTCTTAGTCACAGTCTTTTTGATTTATATCTTATATTTTTAGTTGACCGATGCATTTCTCCTTTAAATTTCTTTATCTGTATCGTCGGATAGATCCCCTAGTTCATCGAAATCTTCGCGCGAACCATGACTCACAAACATTCCCGTAGAATTAGCAGTGGCGTTGCTGAATATTCCTGTGATATTTACACATGAAAATTTATTTCGCTTCAATTGCCTGTCAATTGCCTCTTTTAGGGTGTTATATGCGGCTATCATATCCCGTGAACATTGAGATAGCAGATCTGTAAAGAAAAGTCCAATTCTTACGTTTTTCTAGATATTGTAACGTAAAGTACGATAAAATATTTATTACGTTTGTAAGCCGGTTGAGTGATGTCGAACATTTTATGATAATAGTACAATTGATTGTACAGATCTGTCCCAGAATACTGAAAAAATATACAAAAGTGTATATTAATGTTGTACAGCTTCAAAGTATATAAAAATATATGAAATTGACACAATAAACTTACAACTCGATTCATAGAAACGTCCTTGCACACTGAACAATCTGGAAATTTCTTTGGGAAATCCAACGGCAGTCGTCTCGTTCTGTTGGAACAAAGTGGATTTTCGCATTCCAACCAACCACTGTAATATTTGCTAATTGCTCTTCTCATGGCAAGCTGAACTACATTCTGTATCACATTTACGTATTTCCAAGGTGGTAATTTACAATCCTGATTAGGGCACATGCTAAGTGATAACTGTCGACCAGAATGCTGTAGACAATAATATATATAAATATATAACAATATAATTCTCATTAAAAATAATCAATTTAATTAAAAGAATACTTAAAGAATAATCTTGAAATTATATAAAACACAAAAAATTAAATACAAGAAAGAAACGCACTTACAAATTCTGTAACAGTATCCTTAATAATTATTTCTGTATTACATCGTTCATTGTTGCATTTAAATGTCAAAGGAAGACAATTGTTGAACCTATCATCATTAATAGCTAGCGGTAAGTTCAGAGTTGCCTCGCAAGCTATCGTCTTAGGTTTATAAATAAATTGTAAACCTGATAAACAAATTGATATGTAAATATACTGCATTATTCCATTTCTACAACTTATAAAAACTCTGAAGTACCTAAATTGTTGGCTAAGAAAACATCGTCGATACCCTCGATTGGTTCACAAATTCGTAATACCACAGGGAATATTTGACTTAGCAGATAATAATTAACATCCACCTTTAATTTTTCATTATTCTTTACTTCGTCAATGTGATACGCCCGTTCCGTAGCACTCGCATTGGTTCCGTCCTAATATTTAAATTTTTTCTTATTTTTATATTTTTCTTTTATCGATATTTTTATTTCTATGATTCATTCAGAAAATTTATTAATTTAAATTGTGAAAATAAAAATACCTCACATATAACGTATGGCAGGGTATCACCGGCTTTCCACATTCGACCACCTGCTTTATTTAGTCTAAGTGCTACCATAACATGAGATAATTGTTTTTTATCTGGATACGCATCCGGATTTTTCGACAACTGTTTAGTAATAACAAATGATGACAGTGGCGCCGTTCCTTCTTTTACATTTTTTGCAACATTCTGTAAAATCTGAACGACTTGTTCCAAACGCGTTTCGCTTGATTGATCGCAGAGAAGTATATCCAAAATTTTTCTATAAAAGAAAAAATAATTCAAGAGTAAATTTAAATAAAATTAAAATCTCTAAAAATAACGTCAAATGTGTATTTGCTAACTTTCCAGTGTCGCAGGCTAATGGACACCAATCTCTTCTGACGATATCCAAACCTTTGTGTTCCTGTATCAATTGTATTTGACCATTTGGTAATTTCGACATCGTAACGGCAGCGTATTTCTTCTTTTGTAATAGCAATAGATATTTGAATACCCCGTCGATATCTAACTCGACTTTCTTGTATCGGTTGTTGACTTCACGCATAATCTAAAAAATATTTGACTCTAGTGATGCTAATGATACCTTTGCATAATATAAATGTAAAATGTATTATGAATTATAGTACAAAATCATACGATGGAATATCTTTCTCACCTTTCTGCCGATCGAGAAAACATCGTCATATTCTAAAATATTGGTATTTATCATTAAAGAATCGGTGTCGCCATAAATTACTTCGTACTGCAGTTTTTCAACTAAGTGTTTCGTATCTTCTAGAATCTCCCGACCTTTGGCTGAAAAACCGGTAATGCTTTAAATTATTAACATACGTTTTAAATTTTTATATCTTACCTGTTATTAAAGCGGCAAGGCCTTTAGCATAAAATCGACAATGTATCGCTCCCAAACATCCATACATGGAATTAGCCGTGAGCTTCAATGCCATTTGCCTGATATGATAATCCATTTTCTGTTCCGGTGATAGATTTGGCGTTTTCATAAGCTGTTTGATTTGCTGTCTACTTTGGACTAATTTCTGAATCTCTGTCGGAACCACACCTGGCTCCAGATTCGACTCAGGAATAGTTAATTGCTACACCATGCAAATTGCGTTTTAATATAAATATGCTGCTCAATGTTTACATGTGAAAAAATTACCTCAACGTCAGTATATGCTGCACCGGGCACAGTGGTAAAACACAAATTGTATTCTTGTATAATGCTCGGATATAGAGAATTGAAGTCCATCAAAAGTACTAGTTTGTCATAAAAACCTTTCTTCGGATCAAGTACAAGACCTCCAGTGTACGCCGCAGCCTTTCTACGTGGACCATCTAACAAATATCTGACATTAATATACAAAGCATAAATAGTAATTTCATAATAACAATATACATAATATATAAATAGCTTACTATCGTTTTGTTTCTTCTTTTCAATTTTTTTATCTGGCGTTATATAATCTTTTAAGTTAAAAGCATGCAGCAACAGATACTCATTCCTTTCCGCTCTTCCGCCTAATAGCGTCCTCGATAAAATATTACCTATATTTATTCAATTATTAATAAAAAAAAAACTAATTGTAATTAATATTTTCTATTAAAAACAAAAAATATTGAAATGTACCTGCTAAACAAGTAATTTGAAGTGCAAGTGGTATAACATTAAGATCCATCACTATGGTTATAATGTATTTTGCTTCTTTTAATGTCACATGCATTAGATTTAACAGTTTATCCGCTGTATTGAAAAATGATAGAGTTTCCGCTGGTGTGATCTCTTTATATTCATGTTCCTTTATCTTTAATACCTAAATATTTGTCAAAATTAATTGTTTGATTGTATAAATAATACAGTATTAATGTGCCGAATATGACTTACTGCGCTGCAAAGTGATTGCAGATCATAACTCCTAACTTTTAAGTTCAATTCTTTTGCCGAAACTTGTATATCACAAATTGGACGACCAACAAACGCTTGATTAAGGATTATTTTTCCCTGTATAAATATTACTAAGATTATTGTATAATCTTGTGTCAGAAAAATTATCCTCAGATGTTCACATATCAATTATATTGTATAAATATAGTTTTAGTATTATACATTATATAAAAATATAATATATTAATTGTACTATTTTAACTTTAATTTATTGAAAAGAAATAAGATATATTTTACCCTAAGTAAGGGAGGAGTCGTTGATTTTAATCTTCCCATTCTGTTCCAATTAGACACTTTCAATGCAAACATTCTCTGCATTAAAACATCAAATTGAAATGCACAGTCGTAGCCTATTATTAAATCAGGATCCACTGTCTGCATTACAGTTAACAGTTCTTCAAGTAAATCGCTTTCAGTTTCACATTTTATTACTTCGGTATTCGGAACTTTCAGAAAGGTATCACGAATTTGCCGCGGCCACGGAGTATCTCGTGGACGTGTGACAACTGTATAAAGGTGCAAATTAATATTTAGCCTTCATTAATGTTTTGATAAAATAAATGAAGAAACATCTACGATTTAAAGGTAAATGGATGTCTTACTTTCTGTCGAGGCTAATAAAAATATTTTTTTCTGTATTTAAATTACAAAATAATATTAACATTCTAAAATATCAATTTAATTATTAAAGAAAGTGAAGAAAACAATTAGTGAATGATATTGTAATGTAAAAATAAACTTACAACAAAATTGACGTTCATAAGGTGGCTTTGGTGGTTCCTTATCGACATTGTACTTACAATGAATTAATACAACAACCATAACTACTTCGTTCTGCAACTTTGCGTTTAAACACATTCTCACATTTAAAGTCGCTATCACCATTGGAGGTTTAGCTTTCTCTTGGGAACACAGCGATATATTGTCCATGTCTGAAGTAACCACCTGTTGCATTATAGTATAAAATTAATGTAACGAATTAATTTTTTATTGTTATAATGTATGTAACATATGTTTACGTACAATCTGTGGGCACCAAGCAAATCGCCCTGCAGTGGGCGATATATTCTTAATGTCTAACCAGCAAGGTCCTTTAATTTTACGTTCAATAAGCAACAGCTCTAATGCATTCACTGTTGTACCAAATACGTATTCTATCGCTGGACCCGAATAATCAGAATCGATTGCTGGATAACGTGCATTATATCTGACTTCCAAGTAGTCCGAAGTTTTCGGTGTACCCTCCTTTTCAAAGGAATAATGCTTTTTCACTTCTTTGCAATTGAACTCCATTATACGCATCTTGTTGGCGTACTCATCGAACTCTTTATATACATCCTCCATGGTAGTTAATTGTGATTCAGAGTTTTTTATCTGCCATTCACAACAATAAAAAAAACATTCATTAGTAACAATTTAAAAATACAAGTAGATCCATATATCAAATAATACTAGAAACAAAAATATAACTTTGAAAAATATACGTACATATTTTCTAGGCAAGAGATATATTCTCCTTGGTATACAATGCACCATAACACAACATGAACAGTATGTATCATAACTAGATACATAAGTTTTACCAAAGAGATACACAGTACCAGGATTCTTGTAAGGATTTTCATATGCATCTAGATAATAGAATCTAAATACTTCCTCATCTTTTATCTTGACTAGTTGCGGCGCTACTTTTGATAAGTCAACGGCATTACCAATTTTCATACTT